CGTTAGCAATAGTCAAGTTGATGAGGGGCTCAGGAAAAACATCAGTAAATTAGAAATCACTGGAGACATTCTAAAAATCATTAAAGCTGAGAATTTGTTAAAGGACATATTTATTACGAAGATGACCGAGTCCTTAAAGAGCTAAAAAACATTGTTTAGTACCATCTGACAGAAAAGACAAAGATATAGGTAGAGAGATAGACAGATACAGTGTATGTATATGTATGTAGATACAGGTGTGCATGAACACATGCACACCTGCACATACACACAGACACTGGCAAGTCTTTGAAAGAGCAATGTATCAGGCAAGCAAAATGAGAGAAAAGAAGCTAAGCAGGATGGGGGAGCTGAAACAGAACCTTTTAATTGCTTCCTGATTGTCTGAGTCAGGTACTGAATATGATAAAAGGGAAAAGCAGAAGTACAAGATTTTCTGTTTGATTCTCCCCCCTACTGCTCTTTGAATGGATTTACAAAAGCTTTCAAATATATAGCTGTTCTCTTTTTTGAGGCAGGGGAAGACTTGTCAAGACTTCCTGCTTCTGTGCCTGGAGAGCCTAAAATGTTGTAAAACTATTAATTATTTTAGCAGAAAGATGTTGGTGTATTGCGTAAATAGGATAAATATTCTTTTTTTTTACCCTAATCAGCAGAAATCATCCATCTCCATATTATATTCCAGTTTTTCAGGCTGATTAGTACAATGTTAATTTTGCGCTTATCAGTCCAGAGCAAGGGAAGCATAAAATTAATTTAGGTCCAAATCCAGATTTTCTTACTCAGCCAAATTCTCCTTAACTTATATGAGAGATTTGTTTATGTAAAGATTGAGTTAAAATTGAATGAAGACTTGAGGAGTTCACCATTTATGTTTTATTTTTATGTTAGCTGGTATTTTGTTTTTATTTTCTCCACCCTCTCTACTCCCAACACAGTGATGGTTTCCAAATTGTTTTTGGCTCACTAATGGCTGTGAGCCTTGTTTCCGTCAGGATCAGGACCCCGAAAACTGATAAAAACAATTGACTATCTATTAGTCTTATGATGACCCTGCTTATACCTGCCACAACTCCACTGAGGGTTGCAACCCCCCGTCTGGGAAAAGCTGTAATAGAGGGTCATTGAAGCAATCCCAAACAGTCTTAATTCACTCCTGGTGTACTTCCATTGATGTCAGATGTGAATTAGGCTTAGTGTAGTTGTTTTCAACCTTTTTTTCATTTGCGGACCTCCCAGAAATTCCAAATGGAGGTGTGCACCCCTTAGGAAATTTTGAATGGAGGTGCAGACCCCTTTGAAAGTAAGTGTTCACATAGTTTTGGTTGATTATAGTCAGCTTTTGCAGATGCCTTAGACATTAGTCTGTGGACCCCATATAATATCCACGGACAATATAGGGGGTTCCATGAACCATAGGTTGAAAACCACTGGCTTAGGGTGTTTATGTTTGGAGAAGGGGGTCAGGACTCCTAAATGCCATTCCTGGAAGTGCCAATGACTTTCAGTGTAATCTCACTGGTAGCTTTCCATAGTAGCAAGGATAGTGCTATCTATCCAGCATTGCCACTGGCCATTACTTTCCAAGTAGTACCTTTTTCACTTAGGCTTGGGTGGTGAGCCCATCTCATCCTAAACAGCAATATGCCTTCCCCCACTGTTGTCCGTGGAGGCTGTTCTGCTTTCTGTCATGTGTCAATGTGCAATTATATGGGTTTGCCTGCTTTTCTGAAGCAGCTGCATAGAGTCTTGAAGTAGGAGGTTGAAATCATGTGGAGGAAGAGTCACAGGACTCTTCATGGATAATTCTTCTCCTTTGCCCCACCATTGGTCTTTGCTCAGCTGCCCTGATTTAGACTTGTAGTTGATGAGAAACAAACCAAATCTTATTTAGGTTTGAAAATACTTAGACCACAACCCAGTGTCTTTTACCAGTATTTTGCCTCCATAGATTCTTTGTATATTTTCCATCTCCATTTTTTCCCCCTTCCCTGATATTCATTTTGAATGGCTATTGTCCTTAAGACAATGTGATAAAAAATGAGTGGTCTGATTTGTAGAGCTGCTGAGCACCCCATATGCAACAGGGACTCAATACCTCTGAAACCGAAACAAAGTCAAGCTTTACAAAGCAAAAATTAACAAAACACAACCTTGCCTAACACTACATCTTCCACTTCCCTTTCTTCCCCACACTTTTCCCTCATGGGTTGATGGGTAGGGCTGTGTGAAATTTTGCCAGCCATTTTGTTTCGGCACTGTTTCGACCAATTTTAAGTTGAAACAGCAAAACTGGAACGATACAAAGGCCATCAAAATAGCCTCGAAACAAAACGATGCTGGTCAAAATGTTTTCACCATAGTCTGGGGATGGGAAGTCAGTCCAGCTGGTCTGCTTCCCCATCCCCCACACTAGATCACACCAGGGGCAGTGCGGGGGACAGGGAAGGGAAACAGCCCAGCTGAGCTGCCTCCCGCCCCTGGCATGATCTAGTGTGGGGGACAGGGAAGCAGCTAGGCTGGCTTCCCATCCCCAGTGAAAAGTTGAAAGCACATCAAAACAGCCTTTCTGTTTAGACAGAATGGAATGGAACAGCTGTTTTGACTCAAAATGAAATTCGATATGATACACTGTTCTGTTAAACCATCAAAACTCAAGGCGAAATGGAATGGTGCTGTTTCGCACAGCCCTATTAGTGGGTACTCTTCTTTGGGAGGCATATACACAGGACGATTTTTGAGGCCTATCAGAACTGAATTTATTGATGCACCTGATGTCCTTACAGGGATCTAATTTGCAGCATGGGACTTTGTAATTTCATGCTAGAACAGCATAAAATGGAAGAATTACTCATCCAAAAGAAAGGGGCTATTTAACGGCAGAGAAGATGATTCTGTAGTGACAGTAAAGATAAGGGCTATGAGAAATTTCGCCCGGTGTTTCATTTTGAAGCTGTTTTGATGTATTTCGAGCTTGAAACAGCAAAATTGAAATTAAACAAAAGCCTTCTAAACAGCTTCAAAATGAAACAAGGGAAGTCAAAACATTTTGAAAATACTGAAACATTTTGAGTTTCAAAGCCAGGCTTACTGGCTTCAATGCCAGTCCCAGTCAACAGCACCCACCCCGTCATCTGGCAGGCAGCTCAGGGGCTTGCCCGCACCCCCACAAAAGCTGCAGGGGCTGTGCCTGAGTCCTCCCAGGGGTGCGGACTCTGATCTGCCTGCCAAATGAGAGAAGCTGGGTGCTGTTGTCTGTGCGCAGTACTGGGAAGATCGCTGCTGCCACTGGTCCCAGGTGATATCACCTGGCTCTCTCAGCTGGCAGGCAGATCGGGGCTTGCCTGCATCCCTGGGGGGGCTGAGGGGGCCGTGCCAGAGTCCTCCCGGGGGTGTGGGCCCCCAATCTGTCTGCCAGATGACAGGCTGGTGCTGGGAACAGCCTGCAACCAGTGCTGCTGCTGGCCCCAGGCAGCAGCACCTGGCTCCTGTCACCTGGCATAAAGATGAGGCAAAAACTGCATCATATTTAAAACCACGGTGACTTAAACATGACTTAAAGCCATCCTTTGCCCCATTGCCTCTCAGTTTGCACCTTCTGCAGTGTCTCTCACAGAAGGCCAAGCATACATCCTAGCTTGATGAGTTGAGGAATAACTCAAGGAGGGGTGGTTTAGTAGTTTGCCATCAGGTTTGATGCACCTAGGCTGCCTAGAACTCTGGAGGCAGAAATTGTGCATAAAGTGAGGCCCTGTTATAGTTCACCTGCATATGCCATGCTTTACCTTGTTGAGACTGCATAAGGGCTGCCAGTAAGCAAACTAATAAATGATCTCCCACAATGCTTTGAGCTCCATTATGGCAGAATAGGTGGAGTATTTAGGAGTTACTTATTTTCCAGATGCCTTCTTTTTCATATAAGATCTGAAATCTGAATGGAATTTTCCAATCCTTTTTATTTTCAAGGGTGCACATGCTTACTTTCTATAAGGTCAGAGGCCAAATGCATCCAAGGCCTCCAGCCTTTAGTGAACATTCACTTGTTTGTGCTCTGTGAATAAGGATAAATAGAAGCATGTGATTTACCTGCCCTCCATCATTCATTATTTTTTATACCTCTATCATAACTTTTTTTAGATGTGTCCCCTGTGGGTACTCCTGAGGAGATAACTCTGCTCTCTTGAAGTTAGTGGGAATTTTGCCTTTGATTTCAAGGAGATTAATATTTCACCCCACTTCTTTTCTTAATCTCACTTCATACGGAAGTCCTTGCATACTTATAATCATTTTTGTCATCAGTCTCCAGACCCCTTATATTTCTACTCCATCTTTTGGAGGTGGGTGACCAGAACCGAACACAGTATTGAAGGACATAGCCCACCATAGATTTAGGTAAGGACACTAAAATATTCTCAGTGGTATTTTTTCTTGTTTCCTCACTTGTTCTCCTTATCTAAATGGCCACTGCACAGTGATCAGGTTTTTTTTTGAGCCGTCTACCATAATTTCCAGGTCTTTTTTCTTAAGATTATCTCAGAGCTCAATATATGACTAATTTCAGGTTATTCTTTCCAATGTATATTACCTATCATTTGGCAAAATGTGCTGTGCTGCCCACTTGCTTGGCTTTGTAAAGTTCCTTTGATATTTCTTAGTCTTTGCCAACCTACATAATTTTCTGTTATGCTGTTACTTCAATATTTAGAGCACTTTTTAAGGTAATTAACAAATGATATAGTATGGAACACCATCCCTAATACAATCAATGCCTTATGCCACCACTCCCTTCTCTAGTAGTAATAATGAAAATTGTTTATCTGTTCTTTTTCTTTATTATTTTAACCAGATTCTAATCCAGTACAACACTTTTTTCTTCTCCATCTCATACTCACTCTCCCTTAAATTACTTCTTTTGAGAGACTTTGCCATAAAAGACTCCTTGAAAGCTTTGACAACATGAGAAGTTGTCTGTTAAATCATGGGATTGTGACATCAGAAGGATGTCATGGTCACGTTCTAAAAGAACGCAAGTTCTGAAGTACACAAGGCTTTGTTCCCTCAGTCTCCCTTATTCTCACCAAGACTATCAGACAGAGAAAATGGAGAATACTTTGATTCACAACCTATCTATTGCAAATGAAAATTTACGAAATCAAATATGGAATCTCAGAGAAACAGCTGGAGAGCTCGATGCAGAAAACCAAAAACTAATGAAAGAAAATCAAGATATAAGAGACTCAAACAGAAGATTACAAACCAATGTGGATTGCTTCAAGACACTGGTGGAAGACCTACAAAGAGAAGTGGAAAATGCAAGGGAGATGTTGGAAGAAAAAGAAAACCAAATAAAAAAATTGGAATTTCAAATTAACAACTGGGAGAAAGCAAATGAACAACTTAAAACAGAAATCATAGAATTGACCTGCCAGGTTTCTGCATATCAACATGATAAAAAGTATCAAGAAAAAGACATGTTAGGGGAGCAAAATATAATGTATGAAAATGAGAAATACCTGAAACGTCTAGAGGACAAGCTGGAAAGTGAAGAACAACTGTATGAACAGGAAAACCTCCGAGCCTGCCAGCTGAGGGATATGTTAGAGGAACCTGATAAAATCAGGGAGGTTCAGAGAAATGATATCTTGCAACTGAAAGGACAGCTGGAAATGTCAACCCAGGAAACAGCATTACTGAGAATGGTGAAAGAGGACAGGTCCCAAGCTGTTTTATTACTGGAGGACACTGCTGAAGTCAAGTTCCCGGATAATAAACTCCCTTGGTCTAAGAAACATAAGTTCCTCACTTGCACTTGGAATTTCTCAAAGCTTTTGCTTATATTAGTATCTTGCTTGGGACTTTCAGTAGCTTTGGTATTTTTGTATGCCTGTTGTTTCAACAATGATTTCATAGTTGACATCCTTCCACTACTGTCTAGTGAACATGACCTTGATCTGCTGATACAGATCTTGTCTCCATACCTTACCTGGAAAAATAAAGGACTGCTACCATTTTGAGAAAAGCTGGCCGTATCAGTTTGATTCACTCTCATCTTGTGCCCTAATGCATGAGTTCAGCTCCTTATTAATGATATATTTCTGTATAAATATATATTTTAAAAATCCAAATAAATGTTACAGTATGCTTCTCTTGTATCTACTGTTTTGCTCATGTACTCATCAAAGAATTCTAATAGAGGCTAGATTGCCTGTACAGTAACAAAACTGGCTTGTCTCTATCTTATCATGGTGTGGCAGGGCACTGTTTGTGCCTACCACTTTAAGAGCCTGCAGCCTGCAGCTGCCTGATGAGGGCAGCCATTTTGAACTGAGGCTGTCTATATAAACAGGGCAGTTCTGCTGTTTGAGGCCAGGCAACACCATTGCCTGGCTGGAGGGCTGCAGGTATCATCTGGAGGTAAGGGAGGTGCTGTAGAGGATGGTCAGGAGGCTCCTGGTCCTGGGTACGATCTAAAACTGCACCCTGCCGGGAGTGGTGGCCTGGTGGGGCTCCCAGTGGTGCGGGAGCCCCCAGGAAATGCCAGGCCAGTTACCACACCCGGTGAAAGGCGGGTCAGGGCGCCTTAACCCCTATTCCCCACAACTGGGTGGGTTTCCCCTTGTTTGGAGACCCCAGAGGAAGAGTGTGAGGCCATGGACTCATGAACCTGTCTGACATTTCCCCCAACTGGTCAATGCTGGGGCCAGGACCGGAAGGGTCAAAGGGCCAAGGGGCCCACCACGAGGAACTCCTGAGAGCTGAGGGCCTGGGGTTCTGACTGGTCTGGAGGTGGGTCAGGGCTAGTGAGCCAAAGGTCCCAGTGGGCCACACCTGTGAGGGGGAAGCAGCTCAGGGAGCCATGTTGCCGAGAATGAAGGCAGATCAGGCTGCTGGAATGGAGGGTTCATAGAGGGGTTCAGTAGTAGGATTCTGGGGCCCAGTGTGGGGGCCAGTGATGATTAGAACATCTAGATGCTATGTGCGAGGCTTAGGCTGTGGTGTAGGGGAAGAACGGAGTTGCAGATACATCATTTAACTAATTAACAACAAGGTGTGGCAGGTGAGAAGGCTGGCAGTTAGCCCAAAAACATGGGCAGGCCACGGTTAGATTGGTCCTGAGAGAGCCCCCTGTTGCACATGGCCAGTTAGGAATTTTGTAATCCTGATAGTATTGGTCATTTAAATCAGTTTTCCTAGTGCCAAATGAAGTCTTATTGGTCTATAATTTGCAGGATTACCCCAAGAGAGGAACAGGGAGCTCAGGAATGAAGAGGAGGACAAGGAGGCTGTTTCATTGTGCCAAGATGACTTGTGTGTGGACACAAAACAATTTATTTCTAAAGCTTCCCTGTGTAGATAAGACCTTATTTATCTAAATGCTAGTAATGAGATTAGAACTCAGATCCCCAGAATAGGAGGATCTGCACACTGATAAGATAAAGAAAGTTTTTCCTCTGTATCTAAGACATTTTCCTTTATGCTTTAGTCAGTGTGACTGCACTGTATTTTAGTTTGCACTTTCTACATCATGGACAGAGAAAGCTTGCAAGCTGCCATAACACAGATTTTTATACCAAAAATTAATATATTTCCATTAAATTCACAGGTTGCACAGTTAGGGCCTGATCCCATTGCTATTGAAGTTAATAGGAGACTTCTCATTTATTCTACTGGGTTTTCAGTTAAAGCATTACTGGGTGCATCTACGTGGTCATTAATAAGCTGTAGTTACTACGTACTAAGTTTAGTTCTTGGATAACCAAGTACTAAACCAGTGCACAGTAACTGGTGCTACTGCACAGTAGCACTGGTGCACAGGTTTTTGTAGACGCTAACTGTGCAATAGCTTAATACTATTCTGCAATAGCATATTAGCACTGGTTTTGCCTGGCATGCTACTGTGGAGTGGCATTAGACTACTGCGCAGTTAGTGTCTTGTGTAGATGCGCCCATTGTGAATACATTTGAAGCAGCTAAAGAAACAAACCAAAAACCCAACAAAGCACTCAATGCCTCAGGCAAACGAGCATAAAATTTAGTTCGTGTTAATCTAGCTGAGAGTGGAAAAAAGTGCAGCATTTGATTCTGGAATTCACTTCCCTCTTGGTCTACCAGACCTTAAATTTGTTCAGCTCTAGGTCACATAGCAAAGACTGTCCATTTTCCTAGACTTTTGGGAGAGCACAGAGAGAAACTGAGAGAGGTGGGAGGAGTGAGAAGGTTTAGCTGAGTAGATTAAAATAGGCTTTCAGAGTGTGGACATTAGCTTAGATATTGTGCGTTTGTCTTTGGCTAACACATTTTGTTTATATACATAGAGCAATGAGCAGAAACTTTTTAAATAAGAGAAAATAAATAAATACTATTCTATGGATGGAAAATGAAATCCTAAAGACCAACATGGCAGCTGGCCAACTTGCAGTCACACTAGGCTTCAGCATTATCCCTGACATTTATGCACAAAGCAGGTATGTGAGGCTTGCTAGGCAAAAACCAGCAAATAAACAGTGCACTGAGCAACCACGAAACAGAAAAATATCTGAGGGATGGAGGGGCTCTGACTCCATGGCATTACTTTCTCCAGTGATATGTGCAGTAGCTTGTAGCAGTGAGGAAAAAAATCCAAAGATGAAAAGGCAAAAAAAACCCCTTAATCTCCTTCCAGCCTAGGCTGTGTGACAGGAAAATCTCCCTTTGAAATAACAAGAGAAACAATCTGGGAGGAAAAGAAGTATAGGGAGTGCATTAAGAGAATGAGCTAAATTTATAGGGAAGGTGAACCAATGGAAGAGATGGTTTTGTGGGGACGATGTTGAACTAACACTTAGGAGACCTGCATGTAATTCTGGCTCAGTCACAGACTTTGTTACCTCAGGCAAATCACTTAATCTTTCTGCACCTCTGTTCCCCATCTGAATGTGGGATAATAGTACTTAATTTTTTTCTTCTGGGTATTTAGATTATACATTATTTGGAGTAGGGAAGCCTCTTATTATGTATTAAAATAACTAACACAATCATTTGGGGACTTTAGATGATATCATCATCATCAACAACAATCATGATAATAGGTGAGCTGCATGCCATTGGTATCAGAGTCAAAGCTGAATGAATTGTACCAGTTGGTATTTCGTCTGTTGTACAAAAAGGGACTAAGTTGTTACTTGTCAGCTCTGTGTTCCTGAGGGAGCCCTGGCACCCAGCTTGCTGGACTTACTAAAGACTTTTTCTATCCTCCTGTCACCACCCCCTCTCCCCCACCCCCTTCTAACCAGAACTAAACAGAAGAAAAGTTTAATAGGCATCTTGGGCCGTACATTCCCGGGTCCCAGTATGGGAGGCCTATTTAAACTTGATTGACTAAAACTTAGTTGCCAGGTTAGGGAATGCTGAGGCAAGAGACCGAGCCAGAGGGGGAACAGGCGACATTTGAACAATGGTTAAGGGTTCACCACAGCGTCCAGCCTGCTGGAGCCCTGACCACAAATGCTGTCATACATTTCCCAGGATGACTGGTGGAAGTCCTCCCCACAAAGTTTATGAACACGCCAAGTAATCAATCCCCCTAAGTATGTTAAAAGACTACAGTGAGATCTGAAAGTCATGCTAAGCTGAGGCTTATTCACAACAGGTAAAATGCAAAACAGTGATGCTGACTTCATAGTGCAAGCATAGCTAGGCCATCTGAGAAGAAACAATGTGGTATCCCTTCCAGTATAGCTTCTATATTCATAATAATTTCAAGCTGGCTCCTAGGTGTCTGGTTACTCCTTAAAACTTTGTTTTTCTTGGTTGTTAATCAGTTTCTTGAGATGTTCCAAACCAGATAACCTCTTGTCACTGAAAAGGGTAATTCATTTAAATTGAAACTGTTCATATAAACAGGATTTTCCCTGTTAATTATGGCTTGGGACCCTTTTGATTTACACAATTAAAAGAATGCTTTGAAGAGGCTGGACTACGGGTATACAGCAATACAGCAGCCAACAGTGTGCTTCAGGAGGGAGAATCTCTCTGACACCATCCGTTGTTGTTCTCGAGAAGCTGGGAGAAACAGATTGTTTAACCTTCAGCGATCATGCTAGGAACCTTGCCTGTCAACAAAATACCTGAGTGCCTTGGAACGGTGAGATCCCAGCTCTCGCTCTCACTCTCACTGTCTTTCTCTTTTTCTTTCTAGGCATAGCTTTCTGAACCTGAATGTTATTAGTTAAGCTTGAGCTAAGTTTCCCCAAATACACAATTGAACCAGGGTAATATTGTAATTGTCTTTGTTTATTTTTCCTTGCATTTTTATTACTACTAGTACCATCATAAATTCCATATACTTAGCAATAAATAACTTTTATAGTAAAACTTGCGGTCACCAGGTGAATTTTTCCTTCTCTGCTTCCCCTTTCCCACTTGGGCTGCAGCAACACTTCTTTTACCTAAGCCAAAAGATCCCTGTAAAGCACAAAAATACTGTGGGATTTGCTCATCAAGAGGCTACCACTACTAGGACAATTAGGGCAAAAGATTGGGACATGCTGAGTTTGAAACACATAAGGGGATCAGCTTGTACTGGCTGATTGACCTAGTTTGGCTCAGACATGCCCTAATGAACTGAATACTGGGCCATAAGGGTATCAGCTGGACATCCAACCTGATTCAGAGGTATTCTGTTGACCTGTGTGCTTGTGTCTGACTGCATTTTATTGTTGCCCTGATGAACTGATTTCTGGCACATGAGCGTGTCAGCCTGTACGTGCTGATCAACCTGGCCGGATCAGGATGTCATGTTAACCTGTGTGTGTATGTATTTGACTGATTTGGTGGTTAGAGGAACCCAGCCCATTGAAGCCGAGTCCTGCAAGATAGCTCCATTGGGGGTGAGAACTTGCAGAAGGGAGAAATACAGCTCCATATAGAAACACAAGTAACACAAGCCAGGGAAAGAAATTACACATAAACTGGTACAAGTGATTGGAAACCAAATCAAGTCTGTTACACAACAGAAGTTCAGTGCATGTAAATC